GCTTGCGAATTTGGGAGACACAAAGCAATTTCTGCTTCCGTTGCTATCAGCTTGTACCAAGTTCGCCACACGCTGCCAAGCAAACTAACGTTGCAGCCAAAACAACCGGCTTGTTGAGACGTAAGAAAACAGTACCGGCTTCGGACGCTGTGAAGGCAGAAGGTGACACAGACGAACAAAGAGACGAAGAAGAAGATGACGAGGAAGAGGAGGAGGAAAGTCAGGTGCCATATGCCTTCGTAGCTTGGAATCCGAACCATGAACTGCACTTGGTGGCTGCAGCCATGTAAGTTTTGGATAATGTTTGCATTTATGTTGCCACCTGTGTACTTAGTGCTTACTCATTCAGCAGTTTTGTGCACCAATACGCCCATTACAAACACAGTAAAAGGTTCTCAGGGCGTTTGTGGAAGAAAGCAGGCAAACGCACTGGTCGGGAAATGATTTAACATTTTTCGTTGAATATTAGCCTTAAACCAAGCCGTTAATTCTGGTAGGCAATATGATATTGTCCGTCCCAAGAGCCTTGCTCTTCCGTCTTGCTATCTTTAGTGTAGATGAGAACTAATTTCAATACGTCACAAACCCTGGCAAAGTGATCCGACCGACTGACAATGAGGGCGTTACCAACTTCCGCGGCGATCTTAGTTTCTGTGACTTGCGTTTTAAGACAACACGCTATACAACACACTGCTGCAACAAGTACTGGGGTTATGCTACCTGGAGTCTCGAATGGGTTACAGCTACAAGTTCTATAAAGAGGCTATAACAGACTTTGAGGATAAACATTTCCCCTGCTGGTTGTTGGCGCTGTTTAAAATCGTCTGGGCCGACACAACTATAGGGGCGCCTCACTGACCGAGTACTTTAATGGCACGTGTTTGCTACTTACTCTTCCTTTCGATTCGAACTGTAACGCAAGACTATATTTATGTGCCCAGAACGTCGACTGTCGTAGTTTTAAAACACCATTGCATTGCACCTGGTAACTTGGACTGGGATGAGAAGTGAGCTTTCAAGCCTGTACGAATGATAATGTTCTTTGACTCATAGACTTTAAAAACCGCACGTCAATCTGGTATTATGGACTTGGCTACAGAACCTTAAAGTGGCCAGAACCAGATCCTCTAATTTAGAATGCAGCAAATTTTTGCGGCAATTCTGGAAACCACTCTTTTTGACAACTGATTGGCCCTCTTCAGCAAAATACTACGTCTTTTCCTAGCTGCCACGGACCAAAACGGTCAAGCAGGCAGTTGTTTATAAAGCCGTTCGATTCCACCCAAATCTTCGGATTCCCCAGACTCACGGTTTGTAAATAAAAGCGAAAATTCGAGTCCCAGAAAGTCATCGAGAAAAAGCGGATGCGATTGCCGGGTCATTCATCACGTCCAAATTCACCACTGGTGATGAAAGTTTAGCAGGTCACTAACTGCACGTTGGTCATCAAGCAGTTAGCACCCAAATGGATTAAACGGGAGAGCCGTTAATTGTCAGACGCGACTGTATCCTAAAAATACCGCAACTCCCTGTGTATGAATTATGCGTTTCTGCTATTGTCTCTGATGATGGATCCGTGACTGAATCCGAAACCTCATGCAAATAAAGTCGCATGTTTTTCTTCTCTTGCGTCTTTATTATACACCAAATGCCCAAATCCTTTAGGAGTGCGAACGTGTTCTCTTTTTCGCCTATATGTACATTCCCAATCCTCAGCATCTTTACCGCACTTTTATCCGTTTTCACTCATTCTGTCCTCCCTTTGTCAATCTAGAGGCGACCGAATATTCATTATAAACCCTGGACTGGGTGACCGTCTGGTAGTGGAGAAATCTAACAAACTTCTCGAGGACTGTTGGCGCCTTCATCTAGCCAGTCCTGTCGATCTAGACGTGAGTCTACACCCTTCGTCTCATATTAG